CCCTGAGCAAGGCACCGTCCCGCGCCGGACGAGCGAGAGGCTTTTGCTCAGGACTTGCAAGAGAAGCAACGTGCTGCGCAGGTGGGTGCCTGGCTGAGCTGCTGGGAGAGCAGCTCCAGAGGCCGAAAGGGATGAGATTTCGGTCGGTGCCTCACGCACAAGCACGGAAAGGCCCCTGCGTCACACCGATATCCACGACCTCTAGCACTGTCCTGGAGGCAGACACATCTGCCATCCCTCACCTCCATGAGGGGGCTACGGACCGTCGCGGGGCACGGCGACTCTCCACACTTCCTTTCCAAGGCGTGCCACCAAGCACAGAGAATTAATGATTTACTAGGCAAAAAGAAAAAAAAAGAGGAAGCTCAGTGACTAGGGCAGTCAACCCAGGAGAAGGGAAACCTGGGGTCTAGTTGCTGTCCAAGAAGCATTTATTCATTTGGCTGTAGACAGCCACCTGAGAAAACACATCAGACAGCGGGAATTAGACACCCCGGTTCTTCCTCCTCCACCAAATGAAATCTCACCCCCGCAGAAGGAGGAGGAGCCCTGTTGCCAAAGGGGAGGACACCTTGGCAAAACCAGCAGCCATCTGGCAGGCGAAGCCTCCTGAGATGTCGTAGATGTGGGTGTATACCCCCCTGCCAGGCTGGACAAGGTCTCGTAGGCAAACCTCCCGTTACCTCAGGAGAGGCCTTAACCAAGGAGCCACCAGGAAAAGTGGGGGCTTCTCCCCGGCTGCATTTGCATGTGAGGATGGCATGTGAGTGACAGCAGCCGGGCCAGAGGATGCCTGCCAGCTTCGGGACACGGAGATTCTTGGGAACGGTGTCCCCCACAGCGTGCCGAGTGGCTCCCCTCTCTCAAGGCAGGAGCAGCTCCCGGCTGGCTTGGGCAAGGAACGGCGAGAAGCCAGGGACTTCTGCCACCGTTCTGGCTAGGCAGGCACTCAGAGGCTGCAAGCACTTATGTTCCACCTAAGGTCCACTTCAGACATCTAAATCCTTCCCCATATCTGGCCTTAACTCTCGAACAGAATAAAGAACCGCAATAAAAGAACAGAATCGGATGAAAACACACAACCATCACACTCCTGGTTCAAATGTAAATATTGTCATTTAAAATGATGCTTTCTTGGCCGAATTTTCAACACGCTGCTGCTTCTCTCACCTGAGCTTCTTTACATTCTTTACATCAAAAATGTATTTGTCTACACATATATGACGGTGCCTGTGTCTCCTTCTATAGCTCTCATGCTATTTCTTGAAGAGCTCAGGGATGAAGCCATATGTTGGACTAGAAGCACCCAGAACTGAGCATGGCTCCCACGTACGTTAGGTTGTGTGCCCAAAGAGGGAACCCATCACTGCAAGACATTCCCCCGCACCGGCTGCATCACTTCAATGTTCCCTACATCAAAGTCAAAAGTCGCCAAGGCGACAGCCTGCTGCCAAGCCAGTCCTTCTGCAGTTCTAAAAAACGAAATGAAGCCATTAAGTTGTCAATCAGAAAGCATACATTATACCAAGTACGACGAAATTGCAGAGATGAGCTGGTTCTCCTCTTATTTCTTTTGTAACACAATTAAGATGTTATCAGGCCAAAGTACAATATTGTGGTATCCTGGCCTACGTGAAAATCTTTGAAAGCTGCATTTATTTGCCACCAGAACCACAAGCTAATAACACAGCCTCCGTGCAGGCAGTCCCCATCTGTTGCTTTTTCTAAGTTTCGAACAAACCCATGATGCTGTGTATTGTAAGGGTATTAACAATCCCCAGACACCATTAACAGCGATGTCTAGTGCCTAAAATTTATACTTCACCAGCTATATCCCCTTCCAACCTGCGCATCGATACGCTTCTTTCCTTCTTTGTTTTCCTTGCAATATAAAGAATTCATGTCCTGAAAACACACTGTCAATTTATAGAACCGATTCAAAAGAAACAGGTAAATAAGAAAGACATTTCAACCAAACTTCAGACCTGAGTGTAAGACACAGGCCCATACAATAGACTCAAAGCACACGCTGTCCAACTTACTCACTGTGTAACATATGCTCGTGACTAACTCCGATGCTCTCTTCTCTACTGCTCCACAGTCTCTAATAAACTCACCACTCCGCAACATACCGGGGAGCCTCAACGTAAAGGAGGAGAAGGCTACAACAGCTGGCGCTCCCACTTGTTGCAGGAACGCGCGTGACAGGGAGATCTTGCACGCAGCTGTGCCGAGGTCCTACAAAGCATCACCACCTGCAAGGTGATCAGCTACTTTGGAAGAGCCTTTTATGATGCTTTAATAAGGTTCGTACATGGGGCGTGGTGCAAGTGCCAAGCTGAAGACCGAGTGCGTATATTAAGGTATGCTTTTCCGCTGACTGATCCTGAAAGCTAGAAAAAGAAAAAAAGAAAAATCCACTGCCCCGTGCCATCCTTGATGTCTTCTGTCTGAAGAGAGGATCCTAAAAGCTGTGTTTGCAACTTCATGTTAGTCTTTTGCTCTTTGTAACCAGCTAGAAGGTTTTGCCTGTGTTTAATAATCCCATGGCTCAAAGGTACCAGCCATTTACCAGGCAGACAGGCAAAAGCCACCCTGGGGTAATATTTTGCACATCTTCTTCCACGTGTACATTACAAATCACACGCGGCAGTAAATGGCATCACATGCTTCCAAACTCTGGAGCTTTTGTTTATGGGAAACCTCAATAAACAACTGAACGGCTATCGATACGAAGCATCTTCTCCTTTTAAAGGCAGTCAGTGTTCATAGCCTGAGTTTCTTGTATTTCTAACGGTCAAGAAACAGCTCCAGCTCTCGCCTCATCTGGCCAATCACGCCTGGTAACACCTGTCTTTTCACAGTCTCAGTTTTATTCATTATTTATGTCTCTCTTTACACAATACACTCACAGGACAATACATCTCCAGCATGCTTACGGATTTGATCCAAAGCTCACTGGAGTCAACAGAATGACTTCACTGGCTCTGGAGCGAACCGAGGGCCCCAGCTCCGCAAAAGGGCTTCCAGCCTGAAGAGGGACTTACGCACAAGTTAGGCATCCCAGCCCAGAAGTGCAATCGCAAAATCCCTAACCCTTTAGCTGCTCGCCTTTTAACCAGCTAAGGTCTCCAAAAGCCTGAACTGTTTGCAGATTTTTTTTTCCCCCAGTTGTCTGCTTTGTGAAAAAAACCCCACCGACAAACCCTCTGTAGTGATCCATGAAATAGGGGATCAGGGGATAGGTCTCCCTCTCCCAAGTGTGGTCCCAACCACTAAGCGCTGGAGTCATTTTATGTGTGTGTGTGCATATATATATGTGTGTGTGTGTGCATCTGTGTATGTAAGCATATTTGTATATATGTATATAAATACAGACACACACATGCACGCACGCACATTTTTTTGCTCCCCCTTCTGGCCCCAGGAATCTTGAATTTTTTTTCTTCTTGGTGGAAGCAGGGGAGAGCAGGAGAATGATCCTGCCTCCAACATGACTTGTAGCCAGGGATCTGCAGCACTCCTCTGGGAGGTGCGCAGTGTGGATTCCTGCTGAGAAAAGGGCCCCAAAGCCTTACTCCCTCCGTTACAGCAGCACGTAGATGTTCTCTGGATCCCCGGACACATATACCCTTTAGTCAGGCGGGTTCAGCAGCGTGAAGGCAGCATCTTCATTTTTTAACAGAGATGGACCATGCAGGTGGCCTGTTACTGAGCCTAACACTGACTTTGCAAGAGACCCGGTGCTGAGAATTTACTGTGGTAATGCTTCACAAACACCGGGCTTGCAAACCATGTTAACGGGGAAACATATACTGTACTTTACATTCCTTTACAGACGCCTCTTAAAGGTGTGCTGTGTAATTGAGTCAGCTCTCTGCATTTCACAGGGGACCGGACCTGAAATTGCCGGGCCCCTACCTAACAGACCTCCATTTCTAGGTGACTTACACCAGCTCTCAGCCCATACGTCAAGTTTCTCCTTTGGTATAACTCTTACTGTTTTTTCCCCCAACGCATTAATATTGTAAGCTTTACACATACAACAGGTTTGGTTTGCAGGGGAGCGGCTGGGACCACATTTTGTTACAGTATATTAATTAATACAGGAAAAAAGGAAAGAGATACCCTTCCAATTTCATTGCAGTTACTTATTTTGGAAAGAGAGAGGGAGAAAAAGGAAAGGCTTTTGATTGACTACCAGTGTAAAAGCTGTCCATTTTCCACAAGTGGAAATCTTCCCTTTCTGGATGATGCTGAAGCCAGCCCCGGCCAGAGGTGATCTCTACCCCAGAAACACAGTCACCCATCGGATCACAACAAATACTCATTTTCCAGAACAATCCCACGGACACGGCTCCTGGCACCTTTGTTTCATCTCAAGACAAAGACAGATTTTTCACACTAGACATATCCTCTACCTTAAAACCCCGTTGCCACCACAGCTGTAGACACCAGCACCGACGGCCACCTGCCCACCCGTAGCACCGGGATCTCGTGTTTGTCACGCGCCTGCCTGGCATGTCACCCCCAACGGGCAGGGATGCCTGCACGCACATACATGCGGTCCCTGTTGCCTCTGCGCCTGGGACCTGCCGTGACGTGCCTGCCCCCGGCAGCTGGACGGGCACCTCTGCTGCCCCTTCCCACCCCACTGTGGGACCCTGCCTTGGCCAGGGCTGGTGCAGCCAGCAGGCAAAGGTGGATGGGGGTAGGAGAGCAGAGACCACTGGTGAAGAGGGTGCCTCGCTCATCCTTTTCATTCCTGAGCTGTAGCCGCTCTCCCCATCCCAAACCGCTCCACTGTAACCCCGCAACGAGGTAAAACTCGACAGCTGGCACAAGGCTTATGCTGCTTTGGCACACACCAGTGCAGATGCCCCCCAGGCAAACCTTTTGCTGCCCCCAACGCGAGTGCAACCCCCCGGTCACTGCCCACCCCCACCGGCTCCGGCTACGGGCCAGGGGCGGGAGAGGGAACAAGCGATCGGGGGACGTACCCAGCCTCCGTTGTCCTGGATCCAGTTGTGCAGGTGCCGGTTCAGGTACTCGGTCATCCAGGTGGCGATGCTGTCCACGAGGGGAGACATCTCCCGGTTGACGCTCTCCACACACATCACGCCGCCGAACTCAAAGAAGGCCACGATCCCCCCCCCCAGTCACCCCCCTAAAAAAACCCCCCCCCCCCCCCCGCCACGAAGCGGCCCCTGGCCGTGAAGGGCGTGAGGTGCAGCTGGCCGGACATTTGGGCAAAGTCCCTCTGGTAGCGGCGGGAGAACTCGTCCCCCGCCTGGCGCAGGGCGAGGTGGACGACCTGGGGCACGGGGCGCAGCCCCTCAGCTGGGGGCGCGTGGCTAGCAGCAGCCGAGCCTGGGGGCTCGGGGTGCGGAGACACCAGCCCAGTGTGATCAGAGGAAGTCCCAGCAGCAGCAGCAGCAACCGCAGCAGCAGCAGGAGGAGAGAGACCTGGAGGCAGGGGTGCCCTGTCCTCGCCGGCAGCCCAGTCGTATCCCCTCTGCGAGAGTTTATAGTGGATGTACTTCAGCACTATCTCCCGGTTATCGTAGCCTCTTCTCCCCGGATGAGCCATAATTTCCAAGAGGAAGCAGCAAGAGGAAGGGAGAGAGGAAGAAGAGGAGCAGGATGAACCCAAAAAAGTAAAGCAGCCAATAATAATAAAATTAATAACACCAAAAATTATAATCCAGTTACTGTATCAGGCACGGTTTCATTCATGGTGGTGTGGGGGAGTTCTCAGGGTCTCGGAGGTACTTTTGTCTTCTCAGTGTTTCCTCCTCGGTTTGAGATGCACGGTATAAATAGGGATTAAAATGCTGTAAATACTTCCAGGTGCACATTTATTACTTATTATAAATTTACTTTAGGACCTTTTCCTCCTCGGTGTTGAAATACATCTTAAAAAATATTATAGCAATTCAAAATCAGGTGCATTTTCCCCTAGGTGCTGAACTACCACGGACACGAAGGAGCGGACGAACACACACCGTAAAAACTGCAACTCAATACGATTTGCTAAACAGCCTTGGATGAACGTTAATCCAACGCACTTTAAGCTAGAAACCTCAACACTGCTTTTTTTTTTGTTAAGTTACACAAACTAAATTTCCTCTGTAAAGTACTTACTTGGACTATAAATATGTTCCTCTGTCAAGTTTCCTCTAAAAAAAAAAATAGCAACAACAAAACCCAAACATCACAAGTCTTCAGAAATGTTAAGTTCTGGCCGCTTTGATGCTTCAAGTCACCAAGGGGACGGGAAAGGGACAAAAAAAAAATCTCTCTACGATTTCAAATGTTTTTTCCCAGACTCCTGTTTAACAGACATCTCCAAAGATGTGTCAAAGCTCAGAAAATCCCGCCTCGCAGCCCGGGAAGGCGAACAACCCCAAAGAGACGGAAAATCCTGCAGACCAGATGAACCACATTTGAATCCAAGCTCTCGCAGAAGTGCTCCGTTTTTCCCTCCAGTGCAACGTACAGACATACGCATTTACGTAGTTTCATTCAGACACCGATCGCAGGAGCCCGGTGCTTCCACACACACGCACGCACACACCAAAAAAAAAAAAAAAATGTATTTAGGTAATTAATTCTTTTTCACAAGGAAGAGCGTAAAAACAACAATAAAAAATAGAAACAAAAATAAAGAAGGAAAATTGCTTTTGACTGTGGCTCCGGGGAGAAATGCCATTTCCCGAGCAGCTTTGTATCAGAGGAGGAAGAGCCC